GAAGATTTGTTCGATGCACCCGCGACCTGGTCGGAATCCGACTTGTTGTTCGCGGATATTCCTCTCCCTTAAGGGTGTCAGGCGGCGAAGTATCACAGAAGTCAACACTTTTGTGATTATCGGAACTAAACTAATCCAACGGTGATTAGCGCAATCGTTGCGTGATCCCTTCTTGAAGATCGGAACGATCAACGATTCACCCCAGGACAAAGGGATACGCTCCTCCGTCTAAATGCTGCAAAGTAAGCTAATAATAGAGTCGACAACAGAATCTCCGCCCAACTTGAAAAGAATAGGGAGAAGCCCATCAGGTCCCGAAGCCTTTCCTTTCTTTAATGATTGAATGCAGCTTAGTATTTCCGATTCTGATGGGGGCTCGCCTGTTAGCACCCATGCAGTTTCCGCTGCAATTGCTGGAATGACCACATTAGTTCTAGGCCAATTGAACTGTTAACTAAAATACTCTGCCCGGCGACCAAGTCGTTGTTCTTTATTGTGGATGTTTTGTCCACTTTTATCGCAAATAGTCTCACTGACCGTTATGCGACGACCTCTGGTGCTGCGTATCAGGTGAAATAGTCTTTGACTATTCCCGGATGCAGAAGCTACCTCCATTTCACTAGCTACTTCGGCCCACCAATTTTCACGATCTTTCTTAAGGTTATTTCTGAGTTGACATTGCAGGCGACACCGGTCCTTATGCTGATCCTGGCAGACTGGGATCCTTCGCTTTTGATCCAATAGGATTACTGTCTCCTGAGAGATCCAATGCCTTCGGCGCGCTTCGGGCTCAGTCCCATAAGCAAAGTTTGCTGCTGAGTGCATCGCATATCGAAACTGATTTCATTGTTGGTCTACTCCACAATGCCGCGGTTCTCCTAGCTCCTGTCCCAGCTTCTCCTTATAACGTGCGCAGACAGCTGGATCGCACTCGAAGGATTGGGTGAAATCATTTCACGCTCCGATCATGGGCAGATCGATACTGATGTGTTGCTTACACCTTAAACTTTGGAGTGTTCTCGAACCGGCCAGATAGCTGGATAGAATAACATTTGCCAGGCCTCACAACACTAATGAGTTTCAATAGTTCCATTGTACGCAGGAACAATTCCGATTTTTGATACTTCAATTATTTAGCAAGTCGGGTCTCGCGATTGACTCACGTATCTACCCCATGTAGACAACTCCGGGTAGCAGTTCAGCTCCCCTAAGGATAAACTTAACACTGTCGGGATCCTTGTGCCGTATCTGCGTTCGCATGAATGGTTTATTGGCGTTGCCGAATTTTCGATTCCTTTGAGTTGACATCTTTTTCTCACGCAATCCATACTCGATATACTGCTCATGTATTTATTCCGCACACGGCTTACTTTTGGTGGAAATGTCAGCGATGTCCAACGAAGGGCATTGGACATCTGTTTCCTCCTTTTTAGGACACGTCAGCGGTGCATACATTTAATCTTTGGATAATTAATTTTCCATAGAGCTTTGTGATGCTGCTGGTTCTTTGAAACACTATGTTGGGTGTTGAGAATTACCGATAAACCTTATTTGAATTATGATTTTTACTATTATTATTATTATTAACACGGCCCGGCATGGAAACAAAAAATGATTTTACTGCAGTCACCGATCTGTGAGTTACTATAATCGTTAAATCGGGAGAATATAGTGAGAAATGATTAAGTAAGGTTATCTAAAGACAAACGATATTTTGAGCAGTTGAATGAAATATGTTAACATTTCAGAAACTTTTTTATCAGAGAGGGGTGTTTTTTTCAATAGACTTGCATATGAATATGCATACTAGTGCATGGGTATCCCCGAGATCTAATGATTAGATTGAAAAAGTTCCATTTCGATGCTCTTGTTGTAGATAAAATTAGTGAATAAAAATAACTTTAGATTGATTT